TTCATGAGATTAACAACATATTTCTCAGCAGAAAGGACATAGGCGAGTAAGGAGTGGGGTAGTACAGTTCAAGTCCTGACGGAGAAATGCTGCCAACCGAGATTCCTCTATATAGCAGAGATCCCTTCAGAATTGGAGAAATCGAGTTCTAAGGTAAGCAAAAAGGAATGCTTTCACTTCTCTTTTCCTGTTTTCACAGTGCAAGGAAGGGACCAGACCCGGGCCTTATGCATCCTGGGCAAGGACTCCACCACTGGACTATGTCAGAGTGCCTTAAAGAAGTGTGTGGGCGCCCTACGTGATCACTATCATGACAGAATGTGAGGATATAAGCCCCGGAAGTGTGCAGTGAGAGCCTCAGGGAAGTCCAGACCTCACCAATAAGCCAGGAAACCACGGAGACGCACAAGAATAAAGAATACCCAAAACACCTGCAAGAGAACAACATGGAAAGAATGAGTCCTTTTAATAATAGCCCTGAATGAGAAGGGGCAAGATTTTTCAAGAAACTCATGCTATGAATGAAGGCAACCAGCGTGAAAATGAAAGGAGAAAGATACTCCAAGCAAATGGAAACATGACTCGAGGAACGTAGCTATGCTTACCTCTGACAAGACAGACTTAAAAAGTGTAACAGACAAGGATTAATTGACCATGAAGATATATGTTACTGCACATCTATATACACTTAATTTTGGAATATCTAATTTTATAAAACAATCACTGTTAGACCCAAAGGGAGAGAGAAGTTTCAGTTCAGCAATAAAGGGGAATTGCATCATGCCGCTTCCACCAGTGGACAGATAACGTGGGCAGAACTCAACAGAGAAGCACGAGTGTTCTGCTGTGCTACACGTCAAATCGACTTAGCAGAGAATGTGTGGAACATCTCCCCCAGCTGCAGGACGCGCCTTCCCTTCATCAGCACGTGCTTCGTTCTCGAGCCTGTATATTATGCCACAGAATAAAACAAATTCAAGAAAAATTTAAACAATATCTTGTATCTTTTCTGATCATGACAGGGTAAAATTAGAAGTCAGAAAAAAACTTCAGAAATTATACAAATGCATGGGTACTGAACAACACATATTTGAAGAATTTCAGAATGGAAATATCTTGCAAGAACTGAAAATAAAAACAGCATACAAAAACTTGTGGGACGTAGGAAATTCAGTAGTGAGAGGGCAATGAGAGCCTGCTTAAAATAAAATCAATCAAAATCCAAAATTAGTAGAAAGAAACAACAATAAATGGAGACTAAAATAAAAATATCAACGAAATAAAGCAGATTCTTTGAAAACTGACAAACCTTTAGCTAGACTAATCAAGAGAAAAAGAGCAGGCCCAAATAAGTAAAATTAGAGCAGAGAAAGAAGCTATTACACCTAAGAAGGCCAAAGGACATTATGGAAAACTCTACGCTAATCCGTTAGCACACCTAGACGAAAGGGTGAAACGTGTGGACATGCAGTACCCCCGGGGGCAAGTCATGCCCTTACTGAAGCACGGAAGCTCCCCGGGCGGGCGGGGCTGGGAGGCGGGGCCTCGAGAGCCCAGCGATCTCCAGGGACCAGCTCGTCGCTGGCGTCATCCTAGTGAGTGCGCACGAAGGGGCTCGGGGAGGCGGAGCCCGGGGAAGGGAGGAGCCAATGGGGAGTCCCCGGGCTGCCTCTTGTCCCCGCCCCTTCCTGTCTTTCTCTCTGCGCTAGTCTCTGCTTCCTGCCTGCCGGGTGCTGGGTGGATTTTCTCGGCTCCGCTGTCCCCTCCTTGGTGCTGCAGCCTTGAAGCCAGCCAGTGCGGGGCTGTGTGTCTGTGTCTGCCAGGTGTTTTGTCCCAGCAGCAGCGCTCCGATGAAGACCACCCAGGACCACATAAGGAATCTGAATAGCCTGGTACAAGCAATACTGTCTAATCATTGACAAAAGTTTTCCAACAAAAAAACGTCCAGGGCCACAGACGGACTCATTGCGGAATTTTGCCATACTTTAAAACGAGAGTGTCAGTTCTTCTCAGACTGTTCCATAGAATTAAAAAGGAGAGAACCCTTCCAAACTCCTTCTACGAGGCCCGGGCTATTGTTACCTAAGCCAAAGACACACACACACACACACCCCTCCAGTGAATGTAGGCTTAAACATTCCCAACAGTTATTAGCAAGGATTATTCACCATGATCAAGCTGCTTTCATTCGGGGACACAGTGGTGGCTCAATATGAGCAAATGAGTGACTGTGTTGTGTCACATCAGCAGAATGAAGGGCAGACCTCAGGTACTCCTTTCAACAGAAGCAGAGCAAGCATTTGATACAGTTCAACATTCCTGGATGATAAAAGCCCTGAACAAATTACAGGACAATTGTACCTGAACAGAAGAAAGGCTATTTATGAAAGCCCAGCATCTCAGTCCTCTATTGCTATGGCAAAATATCTGAGATAACTATAAGGAGAAGAGACCTATTTTGGTTCCTGGGTTCAAGCCTTGGCCAACTGACTGTTGCTTCTTTAGTTGTACAAGACACCAAGGCGGAGGAGTGCAGGGTGGAGCAAAGCCAGGAAGCAGAGAGGGACGGGGACAGCCTCAGGATTCCTCGAAGGGCACGCTGACCGCACTTCCTTCTACTGGGCATTACTGCTCCACGGCTGCCACCTCCCAGCAGCATCACGGGGTTCTCACAACAGCACAGCATGCTGACTGGGAAGGGCTAGGAGGATTTCCTCTAATATCAGGAGTAAGGTGAGGGCACCCACTTGTGCGGCTCTTATGCAACAGAACATAAAAAGCTTTGGCCAGATCAGTTAGGTAAGAGAGAAAGAAGAGGCACAGAATGGAGAGCAAGGCAAAATTTTCTTTTTTCTACACAAAGAAAATCCTAAATACCTAATGACTCCCTCAAGACTATTAGAATGACTAAATGAATTCAGTAAAGTAGCAAGATACAAAATTAACATACGAAAATCAGTGGCCTTTCTATAAGCTCAAAATAAATTTGCCAGGAAATGAAAACAGACTTACTTGGAACTACTTCAGAAAGTGGTAAGGAAGGTGGCATGAGCGAGCTTGAAGTGGGGGGAACCTCGCGAGGAGGACTGAATTCGGGCAGTGTGTTTCTTATGCTAATAACTTACAGAACAGCAAACACACTTGTCAGTCTTACGTTGCAGATGCTGCCATAGCCGCTGGACATGACCTGGGCGTGACCTGGGCAGCGAGCGGGGCAGCGAGCGGGGCAGCGAGCGGGGCGGGCAGTTCTTACCTGCCTTGTGGGAGGGTTTCCGGAGATTCTGGACAAGGATTAGAGATTCTGAAGACACTGTATACAGTCGTATCGTGTACCTCAACATCCATGCTGGATTTACTTGGGTGCCAGCCTCTAAAATGTGGAGGGGTGCTATAAGACTACTGTTCTGTATTTAATAGAGTCTAGCGCACGGGCGGGGAAACCTGGCCTCTGACTGACGTATGATAGAGGAGAGATAGGTAGAAAGACCAAAAATGACAATTTGGAGAAAACTGCAGCTTCAAGACATAGTCACGGGCAACCAAGGTCACGCATGCTCCCTTTTGCAGCTAGGCCTGGCTTTTTCCCTCTAGACTCCTCAGTTTCTCAAGGCCTTAAGGATACAGTAAGTCCACATAATTGGCCCATGTTTTGCTTTCAATACTATAAATCCACATTTCAGACTCCCACACTCCAATGCTAATTGGGTGCCGTATCTCAACACTTCACACACATGCAAATGGTCTGCACGTTAACCTGATACTCAGTGTTTGCTTTAGTTCACTAATGGGGTCACCGGACCAGATGTACAGGTTATTGTAGACACCAGGTCCACAATCATAACCCAAAAGCTACCTCGATCGCCCCCTTGAAGCACCCTGAGCGCCGCACAGGCCCTCGACCGCAGCCCCCAGGGCCCTGCCATCCAGCGCCCGCGCGCTTGCTGAGTGTGTGCTTCTCTGATCCTGTTAAGGAGTCTGCCTACGTCCCTCACAGACACACCTTGAAACGCTTTTCCACGATGAACCACGACTACCAGGCGTGAGTGGAGGTCGCTATTTTCCCCCTTGGGGGGGCTTCCTTGATCCCCACCTGCTGACAGGATGACAAGAATTCCTGACTGGTGCTCAGCCCTACTTGGTTCCAAGACAGTGAGACCCTGACAGCGTCCCCCACCCCAGGTCCTAGGCAGGCACGTGGCATCACCCAGCATAATCGGCCACTCCGCAGTTGGTGCTGGTCTCCCTTTTTCAAATCATGACCAAGCATGAAGTTTCCTCTCTATCTAAATTGAAGAGAGTCATAGTGGTTCCTCCTCTATCCAAGGGAGGCCCCGGCCCAGGGCTCCCGGCCTCAGGTGATCCCCACTGCTGCTGTGCGCTGGTCTTACCTGGGATTTTGATGTTAACCTCTAGGATTAGAACCAAGAAAGGAACTTGATTCAGAGTGATCCTGCTAGCTCCCCAGATTTCCTGGCATGAAACAAGGATTCTCCAGCCTGGCCAAATATCAGTCACCTGGGCAAGTTTTAAAGTTTGCCCACTTGGCTCCCGCCCCAGGGCCACTGACTGCTCTCTGGGGGCGTGGTCTGGACATCCGCTGTTTGAAGGAGTTTCCCCAGAAAATGTAAGTATGGGGCTCATCAAAAGCCCTGATCCAGGTAACACCGCAGTCCTGAGGTCCCCTCAGAGCTTTATGTCACCATCCCCATCATAACCTATAAAGCTGAGGAAGGTGCCCGAGGACTCACAGATGACAGGAGAGCTGGAAGCCTTGGGGTGGAGGGAAATCAAGAGAAAAAAAGTATAACTGGTGTGTTAGTGCTGGAGAAAACAATCAGAGACCGTGGGCTTTGAGAATGGTATTGGTGGAGTTAGTGGCAGAGGAGAATGTGAAAATTCAGTCATCACAGAAGAGGTGGCAATGGTGGCATGTGACTTCTACTGTGGCACAGAGTATGTCTACAGATTCAGTTTTCAAATAGAAACCTCCTGTCTCTTACCTGGCCCCAGCTGGAGAAGGCCCACTCCACGCACAGCTGCTGGTTACAGGCTTGTGTGTCCACAGGGCGCTTGGCGTGTTGGCTGCACACGTCATTGGGCACTGGGGTGGAGAAGCCAGAGGCTTTCAGCTTCTGGCAGGTCACGCGGCGGGTCTGGATGCCTCCGCCACAGCTCCGGGTACAGGCTGACCAGGAAGTCACCATCCACCTGCAGGGAGCAGAGGTGTCAGGGGGACCCCGGCAGGCCTTGCATTGTTACTGCGGAGACACCCGTGCAGCGCCGTGGTCCTTTCCCCACTGTTTACTTGGCACAGCAGCCTGAAGAACAGCATCCCTAGATGCCTCAGAGCCGGAGCCTGTGATACTGCCTTGCAAAGAATGGCCTTTGCAGCCATAGTTGAGGACTGCAAGATGAGCTTAGGAGGCAGATCTTGATGTTAGCACAAAAGTGCTCTTCCAGATAGTGGCAGCGAGCAAGAGAATACACAGGAAGGAGGCTGACCTCGAAGCAGGAGCTGGAGCGTTGCACAAGCCAGAGAGCTTCAGCAGGCCCCGGAGGCGGAAGGCGGCGGGGCAGATGGCCTCCGAGAGCCTTGCGGGGGTTAGGGGCCAGGCCCTACGGACTCCTTGGATGCTTTTACTTTTGACTTCAAAATGATGAGAGGATTAAACTTTAGCCATTTTAAGCTCCTGCTTGTGATGCTTTGGTATTGCAGTCTGAGGAAATGGATGCACTCAGGACATTGACCAGAAAAATGCATCCAGGGGGTGCTTTGGGGGCCTGAGCTGCCCAAAGGCGATGGGGCTGCGGAAGACTGCTCCACAGACTCCCCCTGCCACTCTGTGCTGTAGTGCTGGGGCTCTCTAGTATGACAGCAGTGTCAGCTTCCGAGGCCAGTCAGAAGCACACCTGCATCCCCTCCTCACCTGCGTCTCACGGAAGGTTCTGCCTGGTGGAGTGTGTGCTTTATTTCACCTTAACCTAAGTCCTACTTGAGTTCTTTAATCTTTCAGAAACATAAAAAGCTCCCTTCAGGTTCCTGGGGCGATTCTGCACACCTGTGGACTAGTCCTTAAGGTCACGCATGCGATAGAATTGTTTCCAGCATGCTAGCTACAGTCTGGGTCTCCAGAAGTGAGACTTAACAGCACCGTGACAGGAGGGCTTTTCTCCGAAAGCTGAGGCGTAATCTAGGATGCTGAAGCCCCTGGTCCGTGCTTTGGGGGCCTGAGCTGCCCAAAGGCGATGGGGCTGCGGAAGACTGCTCCACAGACTCCCCCTGCCACTCTGTGCTGTAGTGCTGGGGCTCTCTAGTATGACAGCAGTGTCAGCAGAGCTCGTCGGAGTTCCTGCAGTCTCTGCGTGCAGCCCCCTCCCCCTCAAGGGGAAGGGGAGGGAGAGTGTCAGAACGGTGATGAGGAAAGCAGCACTCTCCAGCCACTTCGCGAGCTTTAGGAAAATAAAAACCAGAGCGAAAGGAGCACTCTGGTGTTACTGCCTAGATGTGCACGGGAGCACTTATCTAACATGAAGGGACCGAACTCTATTCAGCAAGATCAGGAAGGATGCGAGGAGGTGGCTATTGAGCCCAGGAAGCTGGGCAGGAAGTTGGACCTAGGGCTACTTCCTAGCTAAAGGCACCACATCTGGCTTCCTTGGTCAGGGCAGCTACAAATCCCTCCTGCCTTGGCCTGTGACTTCTTCAGTTCTGTGGCAGTTTCTCCGCTCCTCTGCCCGGGAGCAACTCCCAGGACCAAAGCCACTTAGGAAGCAGGCGAGAGGTGTTTTAAGACTCCTGGAGGCCTTGAAACTGAAGAAGACAGTGCCATCATTAGTTCATTTGCAGAGGTAAATTAGGCTGATTGACTCTGACCATCAGCAAACCAAACCAAAAAGTTCCTGGCACGTCAAAGAGCTCTTCTGCATTTCACGTGGCATGGCCAGGACAGTCTTCCAGGCGCTTATGTCCCTAGTGAATGTCAAAACTGCATTTCAATCAACATTTATTTTTAAATATACATTTCAGTGATGATGATGATGATGATGATGATGATGATGATGATTATTTTTAGGACCTGGGGTGGGGTTTTAAGAAAGCAGACGTGTGGGCAGTGTCACCCTCAGGACAGGTATACAAGGATATTCATCATTTAATGGAAACTTCCCTGTCAGGAGTCATACTGCAGATATTAACGAGCGTGGTTCATATTTCACGCAGCCTCTCCTGGTTTTAGCTGCTCCTTCTTACTCAGCAGGCAAAACACCAACTGGCTGCCTGGGCAGTATACGGAAGCCCACAGGGGTCACCAGGGGGCACTCAGGGCTGGACCAATCTTCCCAGGCTCAGAGCACCATGCTGATGCCAACTGCAAGCCCATCCATTAACCCCTTAGCTCCGGCCCAGAGATGGGGGCGGTGGGCATGCTGGGTGGGATTCAGCCTCTCCAGGCATGAGTACCAGAGAGGCAGAGCCTCTGAGGGTCACACAGCTCAAACGCAGTCCCTTATGCGGACAATGTTTGGCCACAGTGAAGGTAATTACAGAAATTAAAGGCTTCTTCTGACGTTAGTGAGACACAAGCAACTGTAGAAAAGAAGACAGTATTTCCTCAAGTAGACTGCAGTACTGTTTGCATAGGCATTTAGAGTTAGACAAAAAGTAAGGGGTTTGGGTAGGGTCTCCTAAACTGCTATCCTAGCACTTCAATGGCAAGCACTCCTGTCTCTTGCAAATGCGGCAGAGGGTCAGGTTATTACTGCAGGATGGGAGCTGTCTTTGGCCTACATCCGGGGGACACTTGGAAAGGCCAGGGAGCCACTAGCTAGTGGAGTATGAGGGGAGCACACAGCTGGGAAGAGCAGCATTCCGCGGACATTTCCAGTGGCCCAGAGGCCCCAAGGACCACGCCTGCTGTGGGCAGCGTCTCCCTGCACGGTGCTCATGCGCTTGGCCAAGCGTCAGGGCCTACCCTAGGTGCAGGCAGGTGGCACTCACCGAGAAGGGCAGTCCCTCCGGTTGCAGGCAACGGGCTGTACGGTAGGGCGAACTTTGCCAGAGCAGTGCCCAGGGTCAACCTCCGTGTTGTTCAGCAGGCACCTGAGACGAGGCTGCTGCACCCCCCTATTACCACAGGACGCCGAGCAGGTCACCAGTCTGTCCACGGCCCACCAGTAATCTGTCATGGGGAGGTCAGAAGGGGCAGAAATGGTTTCCTTCTGCGCAGGAGGAGGATGGGGTTGGCAGGGGAGGAGCTGCTGCAATCCAGGCTGTGCCAACCCGCGTGGGCTGGGCCGGCAGCCGCAGGGAGCCTGGAGCGCAGCACGCCGGGCCGGCTGTCGCTGCTGCAGTTCTGGCGGGGCCTGGCTGGAGCGAGCGCGGAGGGCCCCGCGCCTCTCACAATTTTTAATCATACTTGTGAAAGTGTTTTCTCCCTGTGCGTTTACTGGAGAGTGACTTTATTTGTCTACAGAGAGATATAACTATGTCAGAAATTGAATCCTTTTTAAAAGTATAGTTTCATTTTGTAAATGTTACCAGAAACACCTATCCAGAGAGTTCTCGCTTGCGTGCACCCGTGATGTCAGTGAAAAAGCCAGTTTCCTTGGGGGTCTCGGACTCACTGGTAGAATAGCTGCTAAAAATAAACGTGGCTAAATTCTGAGCGCTTATTTCCAAGTACTTGTGTATTACAAAAAATGCAAACCGGCGCTGTATTCTGGTTTGCAGCAGAGACTAGCTGACTGGCAAGAAAGCGGAACCTCTGTTTCCGCTCTGGAGCACCAGACCGCAGGGAGCACGCCTACGAGGAAATCCTGCCTGCGCGCAGGAATCTCTTTCCTGCCTTCCTCCTCCCGTCTCAGATTGGCTGAGGCCTGCTCACAGGATCCTCCAGCTTGGAATCGCTGCGGGAGAATTGGGCTTTCCTTGAAGGTATCACGCAAGGGGCGACGCACTGACCTACGGGAAAAGCGAATCCTGTCCCCCGTTTCAGTAAAAGGGCCAGGTTGGCTTTCTCCCCGCGGCGTGGGGCCCTTCCGACCTCTCGGTGCAGCGCGTGCCGGGCCCTGCCCTGGGCCTTCGGACCTGCTGCGCTCGTGGAAGGCACATATTCTCGGGCTGTGCCCTGCCCAGGCCAGAGGAAAGGTGCCTGCAAGCCCTCAGGGCGC